CAAAACTAAATGAGAAGTGCACACAAATGGAGGCCTGATGCCAGTTGCTGGACAAGTATATCAATCCATTATAATCTTCAGCTTCTGAACCTGGACTGCAGGGGCAGAGAGAGAAATCTTTCCCTGTGCTGTAAAACTGCTCAATGTAGTACGGTATAAGTTTCTGCATCGAGTTATCCTGCTCCTCTTCTGTTGTGAAGACTTTGGGGTCATAAAGATGCAAATTCCACAGCCAATTGCAGTCTCCTGTCCTTAGATCTGGGAGAAAAAACAACTGCATGCAGGGAAGTTTCGTATGCATATTATTTGCAGTTAATGATCACCACCATATTACTGTCATGGAGTCTGGGGACTCTGAACTGTGGGTTACCTCCATCAAGTCATTATTGCCCTGGCACAGGCACACGGTTGTCATTTTGGACCCCTTTACTACAATTCTGTGTGGATAGAAAGGCCCAGCAGTGAACTGTCACGTGAGCGCACCTGCTCATTGGTTTGTATAGAATTTAGACTGGAGTGGGGAGCCTGTGGCTTTCCAGATGTTGTTGGACTCCAATTCCAAGCAGTCTCAGCAGGCATGACCAATAAGCAGGGGTGATGGAAATTGCGTTATAACAACATCTGGCTGGCTCAAAGCCCTACAGCTCTGATTTACACTAATGGCAGAAGTGAATCCTGTTTACTAATGTATGGGCCTTGCCCTTTGCTACTAATTGACAAGAGCAGCCCTGGGCCACTTCCAGTTTTTGAGACCCCTAGCCAGTGGCAGCTGGTGACCACTGTGCTTGGTACAGCTGCTAGGAGATCACAAGTTGTGGTCACATTGGTCTGGTTTTCCCCCCAACCTCCTCCCTTGTAAACAGACTGTGAACATTTAAGCACTGCAGGTTTACAAAATCATTTGCACACAAATAAACTGAAGTCTGTCTAACTTACCTTCAAAATGGATCCCTGCAGGTCACATTTTCTAGTGTGCATTCATGCCAAAGAAGCTGTACATTACTCAGAAGTAAACCCCACTGAAATGTACTATGCTGAATCAGCAAACAGCTAAAATAAGAGGACTTAATGATGACTGTTTTATGGAAGAATGGGAGTCTTTTTCAGACTATTTAAAGAAATATTACAGTATAATAGGATGAATTCACGATCAGGATTTGAACTATGAGCAAGAGAAATTATTAGAGATTATTGTTTTATGGTTATGATATAAAAGAGTGAAGATAGAGTGCCGCAATTATATAGGGGGGGAGAAAACACCATGGAAAACAGGATGGGGGGTTGATAAAACTCTTTTGTCCAAGGACAGCCCTTCAGAGTATGCTTGTTATATAAGTTAAGTCAAGGAGACAGAGATGTGTTTATAGCTGGATAAAGATCATGCCTGAAAGAACCCACCGAAAATGTTATGCCTCCAAATCTACATTTCCTGCTATTGCAGGGGGAAGAGATGTTAAAAGCGTTGTTCACAAAGTGAGCAACAATACTATGAGAGAAGAACAGAAAAACTAACAGCGATCATTTCCAAGATCATTGCACTAACAATACATACATGGACACATACAACAAAAACTTCACCAGGAGTGCCTATCCTATGCTTCAAAGAATTTGCTGTGGTTGTGATTGTGCACTCTCCAACCCTGCAGACCTTTGGATTTGACAGATCCGTTGTTTGAATGAGCCCCTCAAAAGATTTCTGCAGCCTCCAGCTAAAAAAAAAGAAAAGTCCCCCTCTCCCACTCCATATAAACTCACTTGCTTCAATAGGATTATACTAGAATAAAGTATTTTTCAGGTTTAAATTTCACACCTTGACCCACAATCCAGTTATGTCAAAGCTACTGCTGACAGCTAAATCTCTAAAGGTAACTTGAAATCACAGAAAAATCAACTGTGTTAAAAGAGACTTCAACAAAATCTTATCAGCTGTCAGACAAGTATTCCGTGTTAACTAGCCTGAAGCTAAAGTGCCTGTCATCTTTATAGAATGCCATTTTGAGAGAGTTCCTTTTTTATTGGAAGAGTAAAGGACAGTATATTTTATTGTATTTAGCTTTTATTTCCTGCTTCTTAGACACCAAAGCAGCATTCAAAGTTGTATACAGTGAACAAAACAAAATGTACAATTTTTAACAATTTATATATTAAAAAGTCATTTAAAATATCATCATAACATCAAATCAAGAAGCCTTCCATATAAACTAAAAGTCTGTCTCTAAAGAAAACACCAATGAGCCCCCCCCCCCAGCAGAAGCCCTCATTGAGATGGAAATAACCTAGTCGCTTTTCTCTCCATCCTCTAGTCCAGGGATGCAGAACTTGTGGCCATCCGGATGTTGTTGACTACCTCCCATTACCCCTGAGCAGTGGCTAATGGCATGAATCCCATAGAGACTTTCTGGTGTCCGACTCTAGGGTTGCGTGCTCATCTCGCTCTAGAGGCCGTGAGCCGGCGCCGTCCAAGGACACTTCCGGGTCACGTGGCCAGCGTGATGAAGCTGCAGCTGGCGAGCCAGCACCAGCGCAGCACACGGAAACGTCGTTTACCTTCCCGCTATAAAGCAGTACCTATTTATCTACTTGCACTTAAGAGTGCTTTCGAACTGCTAGGTGGACAGGAGCTGGGACCGAACAATGGGAGCTCACCCTGCCGCGGGGATTCGAACCGCCGACCATACGATCGGCAAGTCCTAGGCACTGAGGTTTTACCCACAGCGCCACCCAATGGCACGAATCCCATAGAGACTTTCTGGCAGGACTGGTCAGAAGATAGGTAGAATAGGATGGGGCTGTGAAGCTCGATGCTGTGGAAGGGCCAAGTGATCTGGGAAGTGCATACCTTGATTATTATTATTAATTAAATTTGTATACGGCCCTATACCAGTAGATCTCAGGACGGTTCACAACATAATGGTGTATAATGAACAGGCAGCCAAACCTACCTGGGGAGAGCATTCCACAAATGAGAAACCGCTGCAGAAAAGGCCCATTGTTGTGATACCACCTCCAGACCTCTTGTGGGTCAAGTGGTTTACTTACTCAGGCCTGCTCCTGCCTTGCAGGATTTGGATTTCCCAACAGAGGGAAAGCTGCCTAACCTAGGGAGGCCTGCCCTGAGCTTGGGTGAGACAGTTTGCTCCCTGTTTCCAAGGACACGTAGTCAAGAGCACCAGCTGAGCAGTTATTACCTATTTGCAAGAGTGCTCACTTGCTTTCTCACTCCAGTTCCATTGCTTGGGACAGGACCTGGTGATTGTGTCCTCCTCGCTCTTCAAAAGGAGAGCCAGGGAGGCGTGTCAAGTGTTGAGGCAATGTCTTAGCTCCTGCCAGGTTCCTTAGAGCTCCACTTTGAACTTCTGAACTGTGTAACCAGTAACCTGATTGATGTTTAAGCTGTGCAATGGTTTTTGGAAGAAAACCTTTGGCAATAATCGAGTGCAGGGTCTGAACACTGTGTTTACAAGTGGAGGTCAGGACATCCATGCTGACTGGGACTGATGGGAGCTTAAGTCCAACAACATCAGGTGAGCCAGAAGGTCCTCACGCCTGCTCAAATCATAAAAAAACAAAAAACCATTATTCTAGCTAGCATGTCTAGGGAAGGGGGTTAGGTCACCTATTAAAGCCTCTGTTAGGTGAACCGAACCAGGCTTATCTCTCATCCTCTAGCCACACAGGCATGGTAGTTAAAATGCTGTCCTACTGGAGGAAGTGAAAGAGGCATTCCTGCTACAGTGAAGATACGTTTGGAGGATGTTACGTCCTAATTGGTACAAATCCACTCCATTGACTGAGGTACACACACTGAAGAAATGAATACAGCTGGAGGCAGCAGTGCCATCTCCCCCTGCCCCCGCTCCTGTCCTAGCAGCAGCTCTGTATTTTTAACAAAAATACAAAAAATACAATGCTGCCACTATTTCTAGTACAGCATACCCCATACCAAAAAAAAGGCTTCATCATTTGAATTTCTATTTGTCATGCACTTGGTGACAGAGGTCCTGCTACCATCTAAGAGCAGTGACTGGTGTAGCTGATGCATTATTCCCAGAAGGCTAAGCCATGTTAGCCTGTTGCAGCAGAAACAATAAAAAAAAGACTCACATTGCGGCATAAGCTTCCATGTATCTGATGAAAGTGCACTCTAGTCAACAAAAGCTGATGCCATAATAAAATACATTGGTCTTCAAGGTGCCGCAAGACTTTTTTATTGTTTTAGATTTATAAGCTGTTCAGGTACATGGGAAGAGGCAGCAAGTCACCTGCCACTTACTCCCTGAGTAGTAAGTAAAACAAATGGGAACATAGGAAGCTACCATAGCAGATCAGGCTTCGTCCAGGCTGGCAGAGACTCTTCAAGGGGTCAGGCAAGCAGGGCGCTCTTGGCCACTGCTGCCCCAAATGCATTTACAGTGGTACCTCGGGTTAAGTACTTAATTCGTTCCGGAGGTCCGTTCTTAAGCTGAAACTGTTCTTAACCTGAAGCACCACTTTAGCTAATGGGGCCTCCTGCTGGATTTCAGTTCTCATCCTGAAGCAAAGTTCTTAACCTGAGGTACTATTTCTGGGTTAGCAGAGTCTGTAACCTGAAGTGTATGTAACCCGAGGTACCACTGTAGTTGGAGATGCCAGGGATTGAAGCAGAAGCCTTCTGCATGCAAGACACACTCTCTGCTTTGGAAATGAGTCGGTCCATGGAGCTCTCCGTTGTCTCCTCTGGTTGTCAGCAGCTCTCCAGGGCATCAGGCAAGGGAGGCTCCCAGCCCTACCTCCCAGCGGTGCCAGGATTGAACCTGCAACACTTCTGCTCCCTACCACCCAGCTGCAGCCCTTCCCCGGCACACGACCTTCTGTCCGCCCCACGGAAGCCGCTGCGAGGTTCAGAACAGAACACGCCAAAGCGGAAGCTACCATTAGGAGAGGGCGCGGGGGGGGGGTTGGATGAGCGCCATGTGCGGAGAAGAGGGAGAGAATACACCTCTCCCTTTGTTCCCTATGCAATGATCCCTTTCCTTGCCTACCTCCTGCCTCTGAGCGGACCCCGCACCTGGCTGACACGGCACCAGGAAGAAAGACAGGGCAGAACGGGGGGGAGGGTGGACTCTGGAGGGGAGGGGAAGCATCGCCGTAGGAGGAAGCGGAGTGTGTGCGCGCGTGCGTGTATGGGTGGCGGGGAGCGTCCCTTCCCTCTCTGCCTCCCAAAACTGGGCCTGGAAGCCGTTGGCGTGTTGCCATGGCTACGGAGCGGCATCCTCCCAACCCACTCCCCTCCGCGGCCCTGGCAGTCCAATAGGGGAAGCGGGAGACGCCGCGGGGAGTTGGGCGGGAGAGAGAGAGAGAGAGAGAGAGAGAGAGAGAGAAGACAGGGGGGGGGAGGGAAGGCGTGTCCGTGGCGGAAAGGGCGTGGCCCCGGCGCCGGAAGTGCCTGCAGGAGCCGCAGGGTGTGTATCTCTGTGGTGAAAAGAGCGGAGCGGGCTGCCGCGCGCCGAGAGACGCCTCATTCCTCCCGGGGGACGACGACTCTTTTCGGAGGCCTGTGAGCCGCCTTCTCCTCCGCCTTAGCCGTCAGGTGAGCCGGAATCCCCTCCCCCACCCGGGCCCGAGTCGCGCGTGCAGCCGCCCTTCCCCGCCCCCACGCGCAGCGGAGCGGGGGGGGGGAGAGAAAGAGGGCAGAGCCGAGGTCTCCCCCGCCCCTCCCTCCGTCCCCTCTTCCTTCCCTTCCCCGGCTGCTTTCGGAAGCGAGGACGGGGCTGCCTCCGGCTCGGCTCTTCCGGAGAGAGGCCTGAGGAAGGCCGCGGAACCGCCGCCGCCTTTCGGTCCTGAGGCGACACCCCACCTACGCGGCGGACTGAGGGCACGGGCAGCAGCCCCTCCTTGACAGCGGGGCTCTCGCCTCTCCCCCCCCCGCCCCCTTTTCCGCTCCAGGGTCTCCGCCCGGTGGCGTCACCTCGCCTGCCAGCGGCCCCGCCCTGGCTGAGTCACCAGCTTCTGCCCGGGGCTGGGCGGGCTCACCTGTCCGGAACGAGCCAGAGGTGGGGCTGCTCGCTTTTTTAGCCGCGCTTCTGGCGAAAGGGCCTCCACCACCACCCCGGCTCCCGCAGGGTTCAGGTCGCCCTTGCCGCCAGGGGAGTGGGCGGGGTGCTCCTCCCCTTTTTTTAAAAAAAACCAAGCCACACACTTGCACAATCTAGCCTCTGGGGCTTTGCCCACCTGAAAAGACAGGATTTTTAGTGCCAAAGCAGCTTTAAGTAAGCTCACCTGGAAGCAAACCTCATGGGCTTCCACGGCTTATGACTACAGGCTTGGTCCCTTTTCTACATGAATGTTCGTCCACCCCTTCCAACTACACACGATTTCTCCTTGCTAAAATAGTCTTGATTTCTTCCTTTCATTCCTTGTATTTTATTTTTAAAAGGCGTGAGATCAATAGCATTTGCATTTTCAGAATACCTGTTCCAAGTGGTGAGGTGCCAAATGGCCGGCTGGCTAACACTAGTAGTTTGATGGCGCTTTTAGGGAATAGTAGTTCTTACTGGTTAGCTATACCAAAACTTCAGTGGCAGCTCTGTTGGGGAAATGGTAACTGACCATTGTTTGGTTGCAGCATCTTTACCCTGCCACTTACCGTATTGAAGAAAGCTTTTAAGAGTGGCTTACAAAAATCCCTGTTACTCCCTCTTTTGCTGCTGCCCAACTTAACCTTACAACTTACCTGATGCACCAAATTTGAATCTGAGCTCTAAAACCCTTTATGTCAAAAAATTAGTTATGTTTGTAATTTAGATAATATGTGTGTGACCAACATAAAAATCTTATTTAAAAAAATTGTGTATCATACTTTGAATATAATGAATGTGTGGGTGGGTCTTGCACATACAGTGGTACCTCCGGTTGCGAACAGGATCCGTTCCGAAGGTCTGGCCAGATCCCAAGGTTTTTGCAACCCGAGAAGCGGTAGACCACTTCTGCACATACGCGCGCAGCGGTAGACCTCTTTTGCACATGCATGTGTGGCAAAACACTTCCGGGGTTCCCGCTTTCACATCCTGAAGTTTACGTTACGCGAGGGTAACGTATCCCAAGGTGCTACTATAATTCTTTATATCACTTTAATTGCATTCTAGTTTGAACTTAACTGCCTAGAGACACATCACTAATCCATTAAAAACAAAAATCCTGCTCCCTGCTAGCTTTCACCAACCCATCAATTCCATAGTAGAGATCCTTGAATGCAGTTGCTAACATGCAGCTTGGTCTCCGTGTGAACAGGGTTATTAATCCAAGACTTCCTTTTAGGAAGATGTAGAGAACACAACAGAATCTGAGAACATGGACGAAAGGCAGGATATAAATGTACTTGAATCTATTGACTCCTAGAACTGGACACACATATTATCAGCAGCTCTTTCCAACACAATCCGTGATGATAGAGCATGAGGAAGAGCAGTCACCATCACAAATCCAATGGGGAACCACCCTTAGAGGGTGTTCAATTCTCTCTCCTCAGTGTCTTGACTAGTGAGAAGAAGTAGGCTTTTAACTTCTTCAGAATTCAGTTCCTCCCTTGAACTTCACACACCTTTCCAGGGTTTCTGTGTGCCCCTACTCCCTGCACAAGGAGCCTAGAATTTGATAATAATTTATTTAACCTAAACGGAAAGCCAATGTTACCTAGGGTGCCTCTGCTGTGAGAGTCCCTTGGAGTTACTAGGGTGAATATAGTGAAGATTATAAAGTCCATTACAAAATAGTCATTCTGCACAATTAATAGTATGAGAGCTGGACCATAAAGAAGGTTGATCGCTGAAGAATTGATGCTTTTGAATTATGGTGCTGGAGGAGACTCTTGAGAGTCTCATGGAATGCAAGAAGATCCAACCTATCAATTCTGAAGGAAATCAGCCCTGAGTGCTCACTGGAAGGACAGATCGTGAAGCTGAGGTTCCAATACTTTGGCCACCTCATGAGAAGAGAAGACTCCTTGGAAAAGACCCTGATGCTGGGAAAGATGGAGGGCACAAGGAGAAGGGGACGACAAGATGGTTGGACAGTGTTCTCGAAGCTACCAACATGAGTTTGACCAAACTGTGGGAGGCAGTGGAAGACAGGAGTGCCTGACATGCTCTGGTCCATGGGGTCATGAAGAGCTGGAAATTATTAAACAACAACAACAACAAGCACGTTCTAAAATTAGTTAAGGCAGCTCATTTTTAAAAACATTCTAAACGACAAATAAAATGATTGATGCTTAAAACAATATAAAAGATGCAATATTTAATTAAAAGTAGTGTTCCATGCCTCCTAAAGGACAGGCATTGATTGATCCAGGTGTGCCTCTCTGGAAAGGCTTTTTCACAATCTTGGTGCCACTAGTGAAAAGGCTCTCTCTTGTGCACATACATCACACATCAGTACAGCAAGGTGACACAGAGGAGGCCACCAAAGTTAAACAGATTTCTCAGAAATTTGAATGGGAGCAGGTGATTCTGTAGATACCATAGTCCTAGGCCACTTCAGATTGCATTGATAGAAGTATACTGACATTTTTTAGTATGCTTGATAAAGCCTATAAGTCAGCTTACTGTTGTGAGTGACCTTGCTGTAGCTGCTTGTGGTAAAGATGAATTAATATCAGCATGGTTGGGAGCTCTTTAAAAAATGAACAGGAAATGAAATATTGGGAAGTTAAAAATTACATAGTAAAATCTCCCAATATGAAGATTATTACATTATATTTTTTATTATTATAAAAATATGACATTTCATTTATGGTAGTAATCCAACTAAGTCATACTCAGAGTAATAGATCCATTGAAATAAATGTATTTAAATTACTCATGCCTAACTTAAGATAATTGATTTCATTGGGTGGTAACTTTCACCTTTAATGGACATGTATCCAAATAATGGTCACAATGACCTGAATATTCTTTTCATTAAGATGGTTTTGCATGCATGGAAAGATGGTGATCAATTGTTCCAAATGTCCAGTACAACATAGTCTTACAGTCCATATTGGCAAATGTCATTGAGTAATCGGTATAATAGTGGCCAGTGTTCTTCACCAGGCTGTAGTCAACATAAAAGACCACACATCAGCTATGTGCAAGAAACCTATTGCAAATAGATAAGCTGAGTTTTTGCTTTGATATTGGAAGGGGCTTCAGGGACATAGTGTTCTGTACCCTCTGAAAAGTAACCACCAGCTGTGCTGCCTGCTGGGAGAGCATTCACATAATCCACAATATCTGTCAATACTGTAGTTGCTGTTGCGTCAGCATGTCTGTGACTGAATTATAAAGGAAGTTCCCCCCACCCAAACTGCCTTCAGAAAGCTACTGGTTTCCTGAATTTTAAGATGAAAGTTTTAGAACTGGAGTGTTGCTGTGGAAGCTTTCTCTCTCTTTTTCCTTCTTTGGTTGTAGCAGATAACAATTTTCTCAAAACAAATCTATTCCAATGTTAGTTTAACACCCATTTTGGTCATCTGCAGCTCTTGTTTAAAGTGTAAATATGGTGGAGAGAGATTGCCACCCTTATTATTTAAGATGGATTGAAGATGGCTTTTTTAAGACAGGAGAATTTGAAGCATCCCCCCCTCCTTTGGTGGTGTGGAAAGCTAGTAATGAGAACTTCATTTTATGAATGTCTCTTAAGTGGTTTAATTAGAGCTAGTTAAAAATTAACCAAAAAATTGCATTTTTCTGCATTAAAAACAATACCCAGGTCATTTGAAACACTTCATGTTAGTGTGTTTCCATTTTACTATATATTAAGCTAGTCAGATAATTCTCTGCCAATTTCCCTTTTCTACAGTATTTAACTGTCATTATTTTGCATCTGTTTTGATGCCTTGTGTAGCTCATAGAAATTAGAAGCAACAGACAACAAGCAGCCATGAGTGGTGTCTTTATAATTGCAATTCCAAACTGTGACTTACCTCAAAGATCCTTCAGTACCAATTGAGTAACCTTGGAACATCTTCTGTTGTTACTTGCACTTTCCAGTGGTTTTCACTGATTTTTCTCAGATGGAAACATCTGAGAATCAGAAGTCTCCTTCAAAGTGCTAAAATCTTACATGTATTCTGTGTTCTCCATACATAATCAGTACCCAGGATTGTCTGGAGAATCATGCCAAATTTGGTAGATTTTCCTATGAGATACTGCTTCTGTCATGGCATTGAATCTTTTGTTCAGAGATCCCTCTATAACTTGCCCCTTTTCCAAGCTCCCTCATAGTGACCACAGAGCATTCATCTCTTGTCTGAACAAGGTAAGCAATGAAGAAAATTCAAACTGTTCCTTTGTTCATGTAGACCCAGACAGATTGCTCACATACTTGAGAGAACATGTCTCCTGAAAAAGGAATGAATTCAAACATAAAGAACTTTAACATGCCCTATTAGACAGTTCTAAATACTTTGAGCAAGATAACTTCTTCATGCAATGGGACTTCATTTTCCTTTGCATACCCCCAAAACCTGCTCCGGAAGATCCCCCACCCCCTGGAGCTTGGAAGGTGTGTAGGTGCTGCATGAGGTGGTGGATGAAAGTTAAGTATTGTTGCATTTCTGTTTGTGCACAGAAATGCTTGATGCAACCGTATGGTAGCAAATTTTCCGTCAAGGCAAGTTAGCAAGTGTGAGTAAAAGTTTTAAAGCTTTATGTTGAATTTTTAAAAAGTTGGAATGTTTTTATAGTCTTAAGAATGAAATCTGCTTGAGCTGACACATCAGAGTCCAGGTATTTATTGCACTTGTGAAGATAGTGTATAAGAGCAGTAGTCATCTTATTGCATATTTTGTTAAACTGGTGGCTATCCGTAATTGAGAGTTTGACTCTCAGGAGTCTTAAACAGGTGTAAGTTCTTTGTGCCCCAGTCACCAGCTTTGAAAATGAGTATCCAGGTATTCAGTTCCCTCCAGATAAAAATACATGGTGTACCTGTCAGGCAAGAATGAGGGTTTTTACCACATGACTAAGTTCAAAAACTAGAAATAACGTTAATTGCTTGTAAGCAATTAACATGCAGATTTAAAAAAAATAAATAGCAGCAGCAGGGCCTTCTGAGTAAGGATCAGGACTGTGTGTGTTTAATCCTTCCTCACTGTTGTGATCCCACTATAAATCTATCCTCATCCAAGCTGCTATTAGCCCTGCTATTGACACCATTGGTGTCAATGGGAGCTTTCCTCTGGGAGCTAACAACAATGTATGTTTTGTGTTTGGGGGCAAGTGTTGGGGTTGTGTCCAAAAAGGGTTAATCCCTATTCATTTTTGTTTCAATCCTGCTCATCAAACGCTCCAGTAACTGTTTAAATCAGTCTTTCTTAACCTTGGGTCCATGGATGTTGTTGGACTACAACTCCCCTCTTCCTTGACCACTGGTCCTGCTAGCTAGGGATCATTGGAGCTGTAGCCCATTAACATTCAGGGACCCAAGGTTGAGAAAGGCTGGTTTAAATGTTTAAAAAGGTTGCATTAATTGCTTACATGAAATTGATGCTGCATGTAGTACAGCGTTAGTTCATTCAGCCCATCACTCTTGTCTTGCACATCTGACATCCATCAGATGTCAAAGTGATAAATAACTACCTGACATTCAGAAGACATCTTAAGGCAGCCCTGTTCAGGGAAGTTTTTAATCTGTGGTATTTTAGTGCATTTTTTGTTTCTATGGAAGCCGCCCAGAGTGGCTGGGGAAACCCAGCCAGATGGGCGGGGTACAAATAATAAATTATTATTATTATTATTATTATTATTATTATTATTATTATTATTGCACTACAGTGATATTTCCATTCCCCATAATCCTGTACTTTTCTCCTAGGGCATGTTATTTCTCTTTAATTCTGAAGTGCCATTATACTTGCACATATTCCCTTCAATAAATTGATTTACCTTCTGAAGGGTTTTTTGTTGGGGGGGGGGAGAGGTAATGCATACTCCTAAGGAAACAGTTCTTGTTTCTAATGAAAAGAAACCTAATAACAATGCTGGTGTTGCAAATTCAGCAGGGAATCCTGTAAGCGGAAATTGCTGAGAAGGGCAGAGACTTGCAAAGTGTTAGATAATGATTTATAAGAAGTGTAGTATTGTACTTTGTAATGGTCTTGGATAAAATTCTGCAGTGGTGGTGTGTGAAATGGTCTTCAACTATGACAACTTCTAAACCTTCCAAATTTGGTCCAGCGCGGAGCTCCTGAGAACCAGTTGATCGTCATTCCATTTCATTGCTCTAGTGCTGGAAAATGACCTTGTTGCTTGCTGCAAAGGAGCAAGGAGCACTGTCTTTAGAACTGAGAGACAGGTGTTCTCTGCAGAGGTTGCCTTTAGGTTGAAGGGGGAAGTGAGCCTGCTCACAGTTACTTGTATCCCATTTGAAGGGCTGCCTTGTTAGTTTATTCTCATACAAATGTAGCCATTGGTTAGCAAGGACATTAATCTGTTCTGTTTAGTGGCAGTTGGGTAAAGCTATCCGAGCTCAGTATCATTTGCCTCAAGAAGGATACATCTAATTATATTGTGGCACAATCTTCTGTAGAGATTAAAATAGAAATAGTTGTGTACTTTGCTCTATTAGATGTAATCAGAGATGGCTATCCCAGAATAATATGGTATATATACAATCATTCCCAAAGTTGCTGTTGAACAGGTCAAATTTCACAGAGGATCAGTGACAGGCAGGAGAACAGTTCATAACAAACCACTCATAGATGCTACATCCCAGCACAAGACTCTTCCTTTTGTTACTTTGAAAGGGCCACACTCTACTACCTTGTTATATTGGTGGATTTTTAAACTTACTCCTATGTCAAGAATACTGGAGTCTTCCCTTGTCGTCACTTTGGAATAACCCATATCCTGATAGTTTACTTTCAGATTTACTGTATTTTATGCCTCTCAAATCATAGTCTGCTGCAGGAAATAAACACTCCTTTTTTACTCTTGCTCCCCCCCCTTTTTTTTAGGAACAAACATGGATAAAAGTGAGTTGGTACAGAAGGCCAAACTTGCTGAGCAGGCAGAGCGCTATGATGATATGGCTGCTGCCATGAAGGCTGTCACTGAGCAGGGACATGAGCTGTCCAATGAAGAAAGGAATCTACTCTCTGTTGCCTACAAGAACGTGGTTGGTGCCCGTCGCTCTTCGTGGCGTGTCATCTCCAGCATTGAACAGAAGACGGAAAGAAATGAGAAGAAACAGCAGATGGGAAGAGAATATCGTGAGAAGATTGAGGCTGAACTGAAGGACATCTGCAATGATGTTCTGGTAATAGTCTAGTAGGAATGGATATAGCAGCATATGTTAAGGGGCTCCATCTGCTGGGAAGCTTGTGAGCTCAAGGCAGGAGCACAGTTTCATCGCTTAAGGATCTACTTTGGTCCAACAGCCAAAGATCCTTGCTTTGTAATTATGTTGTTTATATGCTAGGTGTAAAAAATTATTTTTATTTGATACTTGATAAACGATGTGTACACTTGTATGGACCAAACCTATAAACAACACAAAACATATATAAACCTCTCTTCTATAATCTAGCCAATGAATTAAAGAAATATGACCTTGTATATAAAGCCACCAGAGTCTCATCTCCAAAGTTTTTTTTAAAAAAGAACTTGGTGCCTCCTGATCTTCTAAATGTTGCTCAACCACATCTTTCATCATTCCTGGTCATTAGCCATGCTGGGTGGGGCTATGCTAGAGCATGTAATTCAGCAACAACTGGAAGGCTTTAGGTTAGGCCCTCAAATTGTAGATGTACACATAAAGGGGATCAGTTGAGGAGAATGTGTGTAACCTTGTGATTATATGTCTTTCAGGAACTGCTGGATAAGTACCTTATTGCTAATGCCACACAGCCAGAAAGCAAAGTCTTCTATTTGAAAATGAAAGGAGATTACTATAGATACCTTTCAGAAGTGGCATCTGGAGAAAGCAAGCAAAGTAGGTGGTTACATTAAAATCAGAAGCCTGCCTTAATGATTCTCTACAAGAACTGTGTGTGGTATTATTAAACTGCTCCTTGATCTCACAATAAATTTGTCTCAGTATTCTGAGAAAATCAGATGTTCTGAATGCAAAGGAATAGGGAAAAGAACCATTTGCTTCCTGTTGTATTCAACCATAAGGTGGCTGACTACCGTGGAAGGGCCAGGTTGAAAGGATTGCTGCTGCAGGAGACTTGTTTTTAGTATCTCCAACTTGACTAGAGGTTACTAAAAGGAGGTAACAGCAAATCACAAGGAATGGGTGTTCTGTATTCTTCCATTAAGACAGCAGTTCCCTCTAGGTGAGGACACATATATTGGATTTAGGAGTTGAATATGTCTAACAATATACACAGAAATTAAAATTTTCTAGTGTTGTAAATTATTTCATGAAAATCTTCCTACTACACATTTTGAGTAAGTAAAGCTTTTAAAAAAGCATTTCACTCATTCCAAGAAAGAAAATATTCCATAGGAGTCCCCCCCCCCCCAAATGTTCCCTAAATTTCCCATTGAAAAGAAATCTTTGAGGGGGGGTGTACTCTTTCTTCCATTTACTTTTTTCCAGGTCTTTACATCTCTGCTGCAACTGAATGCAAAGGCTCCTAATGGAACCTCTGACCACAAGGAAAGATGTGGGAAGTTCCTTTTCAGAATTTAGAAGTGTGGGAAGCAGAAAGTATAAGTTGCTTGTACTTATCTTGACTATAAAGTCACAGTTTGTACCTGCATCTTATTTAATTAATCTGTAGTCACAGATGCTGGATCTGTGTGCCTTAAAACCTTAGATGGTCTATGAATTGGTTGTTAAACAAATATGTCTGTACCTGATACAAGGCTAGTGGCATTTCACCGTTTAGCCTACTCTTGCTATAGATTTTTTGTTTTTGCTTCCCCCCAATAATCTTTGTAGTGTTCTTGGAAGATCACCAAATATAGAACCTTGTAAAGTTTTTAGATATAGGGATCGTGTTCAAATGTTACTATACAGTATTAACTAATATGTGACACAACTTATAGCTACGATAGAATTTCTAGACCCAATACAATTTGGTTCTGGATCAAATAGCTAAGATAGAATAGGAAATGTTTTACAGCTAGGTTCATGTGATATTCACATATAAGCAGTTAGGCCATACTCTTTGTAGAATGTCATATTTGTAATTGCCCCCCCCCCCACAAATATTAAATGTGTGTGTATTTAATCTAAGGTTTTATTGTTTAGGATGCACTGAAATGGAGCGATACTTGCAAAATGTATTCCTCTACTACAAAGAAGACTCTGGTAGTTCTATGCCCCTGCCCTCATGGCCTTGACAGGCTGCTACTTTGACAACATTTTTTCTTCATGTATTTTCCCATCATATCAACACTGACAAACCAGTCAATGTAATGACCCTGAGGACAAACTAGCTAATTCTAAGGAAAGACAATATTTCCTGAGTTGGAGTTGCTCTCACTCTGAGCTTTGGTTGTTGTCAGTGACTATGCATAGCCAAATCTTGCCACACAGTGTCCCTGCTGCTAGGTAGAAGATGGCCAGTCTTAAAGCAAACTGGTGCTGAAGCTATGAGCAAGTACAAAAAAGGTAACATTTCAGCAGTCTTTTGGGAAACATTTTAGGCTCCTAAAAAAAACTTTTTGTGTGTAACAAAATGTTCACTACAGATCACTGTTCAGCCCTATTCTATGCAGGCACCTGTGTAAATGTTTCTGACTTGGAGTTGGCCATGTCAGGAAATATTAAAATTATCACCATCTTTTCTTGCAGCAACAGTAGCAAATTCTCAGCAAGCATATCAGGAAGCATTTGAAATCAGCAAGAAAGAGATGCAACCAACACATCCTATTCGACTTGGTCTGGCACTTAATTTCTCTGTGTTCTACTATGAGATACTAAACTCACCAGAGAAAGCCTGCAGTCTGGCAAAGACGGTAAATAGACTTAATATTGTCAAGAATGGTTTTGGGGAAACAAATTTGAGATACACGTTGAACAGTTGTGAATGCAACTAGAAATGTATGGCTTAATAAATCATGTCGGAGAGCTCTAGGAGCTCTTTTATATTATTCAGAAGAAAGATTAATTATTAAGTTAAAATAACACACTTGAAATTAGAGGTGGCACTTTTATATTCTAAGGAAGTCTGTCTTGGGTCTTAACTTGGATGAACACAAGTGTAATGTTATGCGTTTTTCATCACTTAGCTAGCCCTATCTGTGCTTGGAAATTGAATGGGTTAAACATTCTTACGGCAGGAAGGATCAGAAGCAGAATAAAGCGAATTAATTATTTGAATTTGGTTTAGGCATTTGATGAAGCAATAGCTGAACTGGACACACTGAATGAAGAATCTTACAAAGATAGTACTCTGATTATGCAGCTACTTAGAGATAACCTTACTGTAAGTATTCCTTCGAAAAACTGGCTACACTTTAAATGATGCAGTGTTTTATAATTTTAAGTCTTGCCATCCCACAAATGGTTGATAATTGCACCCTTACAAACTATTTTGGATGTAGCACAAAGTTAGTTCCATATGAAAGAATGACTGCTGTCAGCATTGTGTGTGTGGAGCAGTCATACCTGTAATGGAAAACTAGCCAAATGCCCTTATCAGGCAGCTAACAAATTTGTGTGTTACCTGCAGGCTTCATGTACTCATTGTTTAACTTCATCTAATCTCCGGTCTTTAGTTCATCATTCATTAACTCTTCTACTCAAATAATACTGCTCTACTGAAACAAATTACCCCACTACCTTTTCCAGACCAATGTAATTAACTGCATGCTTTCAGCATAAACATGTTTGTATTTTCTTACAGCTATGGACATCGGAAAACCAGGGAGATGAAGGGGAAGCTGGGGAGGGCGAGAACTAATGGCTGTCACGCTTCACTATATGTTCAATGTCACTCTGTATCCTACACGTTATATCCCTTTGTGCGACAAGCAAAAAGAATAGTACATCGACTTCACAACCTCAACGTAGCAAACTGTCTGTGGGGTAAAAACAATTGGTTGGTGTTCTGTGTACATAAAATGGAGATCAATTGAGCAATGGCATTTTGAACCTTTCCTATTATGAACACTTACAATTATGATTACTGTGTTTATATTTTTTTTAACTGAACACTGTGATTATGGGTTTTGCGATTGCAGTTGACTTTACAAAACTCGAAATGATGGAAGAGTAGATATGAATCATGTAATTCATTGGAAAGATTATAATCTGGGATCAAAGTAGTCGAAGTACAATTCTGTTGTAAAGTTGTACAGAAAATTATAGAGATTATATTGTGACACTGCAACATGGAAGGGAAACAATCTATTGTGCGGCATTCCAGTTCAGTAGTTCACTTCTGTGAATTTAATAGGCACATTCATTCAGACATTTTTGTTTTTGAAATAATAATGCTGGACACGCTGCTTTTTAGCCAAATGCTCATGTCAAATGTAAACATTTTCTGAGGCCTCAATTTAAAGCAGAGAAAAACAGCAGCCTAAGTTCCAGACTCCTTAACAGTGGCAGAATACTGGGGCTTTGTCTATGGAGAAACAGCCCAGTCCTCTTTCTGTGGACATCGTCAAGCCCCTTCCCACAGCAATAAGTTAACATATTTACAATATGGACTATTCTTGGTAGTGAATTTTTAGAGCACTACCATGGAATTTCAACAGGATGTTTCTGTTTTTATGGCCTTATTAGTTGCTGGGTAGCATGCTAAAAATGCTAAACTCTTAATCTCCCTCCTCACTTCAGGGAGGAGGCCTGCCCCTTTGAAAAATCCGAAAGAGCTCTTCTTTGCATGGATTGTGTGCTCCCACCCAGTCCCATTCCGGCTTCAGTTTAAAGCCTGAGGTCCTTTGTGTATGCTGTTAAGTCCTTGATGATGGGAGCGGCTTAAATATGTTGGAATACAGGTCTCACTTAGATGCTGAAGGCTTGCCAGTGCTGCTGTAGTTCTCAGCTCTTGGCATCTACCCACTCCTGGGTCACAATCAAGATCCTGTTAAACATTTTCCCATAGCTGCCTTAGGAATACAGACCATAAACATGCATATTAATTGTTAGCTTGAGATACTGAAATTCCAAATGTTCAATTGTTTATAAACCTGTCCAGTCAAATACCAGAATTCAATAGGAGTTGCATGAATAATGCAGAGGAAAGATTTGAATACTCACCCTTTTCAATCTTTTTAGTATCGTTCCTCTGCCTATAGCATTCCGCTTAGATCATAGAATCCATCTGTTCGTCTTTTCATCTGTCGCTGAAGAGAGAAATTCATGCACTGACTTCAAAATTCCCCTCTTACTAGCTGAACAAATTGTGCAGTTATACTTGGCGCTTGATAAATGCGGTAGTGAATGTGGAACCGAGCCTGTCTGTATATCTGGTAGCTCTTTTTGCGTTGTTTCTACTGACCAGTATTTTGCCTAAAGTTTGCTTCTGTGACGGTTGTATTGCCTAGCACACACACACGTGGTTGTGAGAATAGTATAGCAAAAAGAAATACCTGGTTATTGATGTACTAGATTTGTGTATGTCTTTTAAAACAGTTCTAGTTTCACCTTACACAATCGGGAAAGTGTAAAAGAATTCAAAGACAATAAAAAGTTTTATCAGTTGTGGTCTGTTGTTTTTTTTACACTTTTGTTTGTTACTGCCATGGCTGAATACTGTGGCGGTAGAATGACTGTGCTGTTTTATGTCTCGTAGCTTGCTTAACTGCTAAAGCAGCCTGTAAGGTCTGCACCCTCCCACACACCAAAAAAACCCCACCAACTCGTCACAACTGTATAGAGTTGGTCATTTCTGTTTCACAGGAAGAGTGAAAGAAGACACCTTGTGCAAGGCTTTACAGCATCCAAGCCTATCTACTGGACATCTGCCTTCTTATAGACAATCGTGAACGATTTTGAATATCATAAAACATGCTGCATTATTCCTTATTAAAGTAGCATTGGGTTCTAGAAATAGTTTAGCTTCTAGAAAGGCTTTGACGTAACATTGAACAGAAATGGCTTCAAGTGGCCCTTGATTTCTTAGCTTTCTGACATGAAGCATGAATTCATATTATTCAAAAGCTACCTTCGTTATGAAATCCTTTAGGAATAAGGTTTGTCCTATAAGTACAAGTAGCTATGACCGGCAGCTGGTGCAAATAAAGCTTCATTCAGCTTGTAGGTGCAAGTGATTGAAGTGTTTAAATGGCACAATGTGGGTTGTAATTGTATTTAGAATAGTTCTGCTGCAGAAGTCTAAATTGTACTTCCTTTAGACTTTTGATTCTTTTCCATTATTAGAATAATATCTTATTCTGCCAGGTATTAGTACCACCAGCTCCAAGGTTCCTATTAGAAATACAGTGTGAGGTTCTAGTTTTCTGATGCACTTTGTAATATCTTCAAAGGGATCTTTCCGATCTCTTTTATGAAAAGATGCTTGAACTCCCCCTGCAGAAAAAGTGCACAGGTTCTTTCAAATGGTAAGAAATGTAGCCAAAAGCCAGGACCCCTGTTCCTACAAAGACTAAGAAGGGCTCATCTAGGCTTCCTTTTGTGTCGTGTTTCTAGGCACAGATTCAGGCTTTAAAGCGCTCTGTCCAAGCAGACTTTTTTTTTGTCCCTGCCCTTTCCCTGGGAAAACCTGTGTTTTACCGCTGAATTGGAGCAAACAGGTTTTCTGCAGATTGCTGTTCACTTTATTCAGTGGAAAAACACAGGTGTTCCTGGGCAAAATGCCAAAATCAAAACTCTCAGATGCGGCGCTTTAAAGCATGAACCTGTGCCTGGAAAGCACAGCACAAAATGAAGTCTGGATGGGCCCTTAATGTTGAATCTACACTTACTGATGATTTCAGAAGGGGTAGGTTACTTTTGTACTCTCCCAATGTGTTGAGTGCATGAAATTGGCACCAAACAGTAACACACTTCCTGCGCTACCATTTCAGAGTGCAGATAATGAGCTGTGTGTTTCAGTACTTCCTCATGAAGGAGACTCCATCTGTTTGGTTTAAAAGGCCAGGCTGAATCCTTCACTCTAATGTACTTGTTTTGCATGCATAAAGGGTTGTTTTTAATTGAGCATTCAAAAATGCAGCCCTCCCAACTTGCAGCCTGAAATTGCACCGCTTACAAAAAGTGTGCTTTCAATTTCTGCAGAATGTAAGCTAGCCTTCGTTTGCTTGTCTCTCTATGTTGTTGGCTCATGCCCAAGTGTAGAGTACTTGTCTTAGAGCAGAAAGGGAAGAACGTGATAACTGCCTAAAACAGCTTTTCGTCTAGACAATGTGGAAAAGCAACTTGCTGCGATACCAAGCAGCTGCCAGTCAGCTGTGTTTTTTCCAGCTGCCAGTCAGCTGTGTTTTTTCCGTTTGAGGACTTTACCCTTCATAGGAAAATGAGAGCGATGTTATGGCCAGACTTTGAAAGACTTGTTCTAGTTCCCGAGCTGATTTTGCTGTTACAGAAAAGCCACAACTTAAACCGCCTTTGGTAGCCTATGGCTATCTGAACAGCCCATGTGCAGAGAGGAAAATGGAAAGGTATCTTGAGTAGCTATGAAGTAGTATGACTTGATGTAGCGATGCTGAAAGAAGAGATGCTTGGAGACAATGCTTTAAAGTGTGCTTGGTGTTACAGCTCCAGCAACAAGATTTGTGGCGTAACAAAGTTATTGTGGCATGAGCCTTTTTCATCAGATGCAGGAGCTATGGAGATGAGGGATGCAAGCAGGGACCAAAGGACTGGTCCTTTTTATTTCCCCTGCAATGATTGCTCAAGTTCTTTCTCACCCATCCACAGTGACATGGCGAGCCCTCTTTGCTGTTGACACTTGTTTTTGTCCCACGCAGCATCTTTTGCTATTGTGTTCAGGATTGAAATGTGTGGGGAGATAAACATTTGGGCCATTAGGGTGGGGTGAGAGGAACATCCGTCCTGGGTGAAACAGATAGGCATTCCAGAAGGGTGTAAAAGATCATGGGTTGTATCCAAGTAAGTCGTAAGTACGTTTATTGAAATTAACGAGCTTAAGGGCATTGGTTTCAATGGATCCTACTCCCAAGTGTGACTTGATTAGATAAAACCCTACGTAATATTTTAATAAATGTTAATAAAAGTTATTTAGATGGTAGATTTAAAAAATGTCCGGTTTAGAGGCTTAGTGAGAGCAGCATGGCAGGCAAATTGATAGCAATTTTTCATTGGCTCTGTGTCTAGTGGCATTCAGGCACTGAATCTGGTTAACTGAGCCTGAGACTTAACCCCAGCCAGTTGATGCAGATTGGACAACAGTTATGGGGAGAGAAGTTCCCCAACAGCTTCTTAGAAGCGCAGTCTCATCTGAGTAGGGGGAATGACATTTTATCAGTAATACATAACATTTAGAAAGCGCTGCATCTGTAAGAAATTCTTTTAGTGTGGCAGCCCCTACACTTTGAAACTCCCTGCCTATTGACTTCAGGCAGGTGCCTTCACTGTAGTGTTTTCAGTGCCTGCTTCAAAACATTTTTGTTTAGGCAAGATACGTAGAACATTGACATGTGTTTTAATCTAGTTTTTAGTTTATTGCTTTGTTTTTGTAAACCACTTTGCTGTTTGGTTTGGTTTTAAAATCAAATAGTATGTAAATTTTGTGAAATAAATAAACATACAAACATTTTCGGTGTCTGATTTACCTCTTCACTCTTTCTAGGGAAGTCCCAAGGGTTACGCTTACTTTAACTTTCCTTGCATATGTAAATTGCTTAAAGGTTCTACTAACAATCGAGTTGAATTTTTGTTCAAATGAAAAAAAAGAGAGACTGAAATCTGTGTCTTCCCATCTTTTAATGCTTGTTTCGTGCATGTCCCTAACTCCTGGAGAACGATATATTT